TACGACACCACAAGTACTGAATAAACATTGAGGCACAACTAGTAGCATAGATGCATAGAAACTTCTTTGCATAACAGAAAAGCGTAGGGTAATTAAAGCAGTTTATTTTCATAATAGCTATAATGATAATAATAATTGTAAAATTAAAACATTAATTTTACCGTAATTTGCCTTTTTTTCGTTGTGGAAATATTTTCGTATGGTCCTAAAATGACGAAAATATTTCAATCGAAAATTTTTGAGCAACCAAAATTTGTGACCTAATTCATCAAAGAAAGACTAAGGTACGGCCTGATAAGTAGGTATCTTCTTGCAGCTCTAACCTTGCTCTATCCACTGGTGCTTGCTGTACTTCAATCAGTTGCTTCACTACTGAGTTATAAAATAAAACGGTCCACCATGTGACAAAAGTAGCCATTTAATGTTTCCGTTTATTATCCGTAAATTGGTCATTGCTGCATCTCCAGTACTATCCGTATACTAGTAATGTCGGGGGGAACAGCCAGGTCAAGAATCTCTTATCTCAAGAATTATAAACACTACTATAGCGGCCTTGTTACCAGTAGGTAAAAGACAATGTATATGCAAGAGAAGCTAAATTTTCAGACTGTAAAAAATTTCGTACACTATGAGAAGACGAAAATATTTCCACTTGAATTTTTCTGAAACGAAAAATTTTTGTACGAAAAAAAGGCAAATTACGGTATATTGTGGTACTGCTCCTTTATGGAAAGAGTCTAATGAAAATGTACCATTTATAATGATAACTGTCATTTCTATAGTGGGACAGAATAACACTACATGGTCATGTATTAATAAAAAATTTTATCTCCAGAATTCATTCCATTACTTCCAATTCTTTTATATGAATCACTGGTGGATGTGGTAATTTTGGTTCCACGACTGCAAAGGTTGTCTTCAAAGTCTAACCTAGGAGCACTGATGTAGGCATCCATTTCTGTTAACAATCCGTTTTTGTAGGACTAATCATCTTGTAATGTAAAGCTAATTCATTTAATAATTCATTCTTGAATGCTTCCAGGTTGCTAGGCTTTTTAGAAAGTGGTTCTTCTAGTGGTGGGCTGCTGTGTCTGAGCTTGATTTGCTTGAGTTCGAAGGTTATTAAAGTCAGTGGAGCTTTCACGAAGCAAATTATCTTGAATAGATTTGACTTCTGAAACAGATAGGTACTTGTTTTTAAATCTAGGATCTAAAAACATTGCAGTAGATAGAAGTTGCTGTGATGCGTGATCAGTGTTATGAGTTGCTAAATCAACTTTACTGTGCTTATTGATATCTTTGGTTAATTGGGTGTCTGTTTCGTGTTCCTTTGCAAACTTGTTGATAACTGATGATTCTGCAATATAAGTTTTCCCTGAAAGAATACGAGTGAGAGTTGATAATGGAGACAATGCAAATGGTTAAAGAATTTTAATATCCTGCCATTTTTGCACTAGATGTGACATCTTGCAGTCAATACTAACTACTAATCTTAGGGCTTTTTCCTGTTCTAAAACCTGATCTATCATTATTGCCGTACAGGGCCACTGAGAGGGGGGCAAAAGAGCCAAATGCCCTGGGCCCCACAATTTTAAGGGTCCCAAGAAAATTTTTTCAACACTTCATAAAACAAAAATCATTACAAAAGACTGGCCCTTCTAGCCTTTAGCCTAGCAAAAAAATGAATAATATCACCAAAATTAACTTTCTAGCTAGTTCACATTCAATAAACAAAATACATGTTGTCATTCATGCAGGTAAAGTTAATTAATTTTGACTACACCCACGACAAATATGATTAAAGCTGAAAATTTTTTTGGCACGCTTCATGCACCAAAAATTACATCCCTTGGCCCCACCAAGGCTTTCAACAGCCCTATTGCCATAGACAAGGTAAAATGATTATTAATGGAGAAGATATGAGTCAAATACCCTCTTAGTCGTCTCTGTTGGTTGTCTAAAAATATGAATATACAGGGAGAGAAAGCAGAAAGAGAAAGTAGGAGTTAAAAATAAGAAAGGCATTCAAAGTTTCAAACTGAAAACATGGACATGTAGCATAATAAGCACATTATTGTCCACCCAGCACTGATACCTTTTCTGCTTCCCCGGCCCATTCTTTTGCACTTATGGTAGTTGATGCTTTCTCTGGCTCTCTCAACTTTATCACTACCTCAACCATACCAAAATCACCAGAGAGTATATCAGTCTCTGGTGCACTCACAGTACTTTCTGTTTCAGAGGATCCTTAAAAAAACAGATTGCAGGCTGTAATCATAGATACTCCATGGATCTTACCTGACTGCGCCGGGGATACTGGCCCTGTAACATTGAGATGTGGAATAGGTTCAGAAATGGAGTTGCTGTAGGCTTCCATCTCTGTCTATGCTCTTGCTCTCACTGAAGTAAATTGATGCTACAGGCCTCTTATATACATGCACACAGTTTTACAGGAAGTGATGCATTCTTTCGTGACTACACCTTCATTTGATAATAGCATAACAATTCAATTAATCATAGAGAAATAAACAAAAGAATAATAAATGTGAGTATCAGTACAAGCAGCCCTACTAACACGACTGAGCCCACCATCTGAGGTTTCCCCTCTATCCTCTTGCTCTGCCTGCAGGCTGGTACCAGCACCATTGTCTTTTGCATGTACCTATAATAATGATAATAATAATAGTACTTAGATGTAGGTCTACATGCAAGTAACTTAGAGCAGCAAAAGCATGGCTTGGTAAGCCTCAATTAACCTGTGCTTTAGTTAACTCTTTCCATCTCTTCAAGCTACTTAAAATAGCGCTAGTCACTTGCCTGCATATAGATAGAGCTCTGGTATACCTCCTAACATCTTTAATTGATTCAGTGACAGCTAAATGGAGATTGTGGCCAAAACAGGCCAGTCAAGCTGCTCTGCAATATTGCTTCCTTTGTTTGTTGTAAGGCATACTTGCTTGAATATGTTGAAATCCCAAGAATAAGTGTAGCAACCGTAGTATCGGCAATATTTGTACCTGTGTGACCATGAGGGTAGAAACTGTGTTTGTAGGCAACAATTCCTTAGGCTCCATTGTTCATCAATGAAATGAATAATGTAACTCATGTATGGTGTCATAGTAGAACTACACCGCATGTCTGTTGTTGCTAAAAAGTAATCTATGTGCTTTAGTTTTTGTTGAACTTTATTTCTGGTTATTGCATAAAAATCTGGCAAAGAAGTTCTAGAAAAGTAATGGCGGCTTGGGATTTTATATCAAGAGTCAAATGTTTTGATGAGTACATCTTTTGGACCGTGTGTACAAAGGTAAACCATCCTTGGCAATGCAGGAAGTTATTGAATGTGTCAAATTGTTCCTTTGTCTAATTTTCTTTTCATACTTTTGTCCTAGTAAGTTGTTTGGCAACTGGATGATGTATTACTAGTGGTGAAATGTGCTTTAGATCCTTGGGTAGCTTCAACATTAGAACTTAGAATGATTAGTTCGAAGGTGAGAATAGAGGTTTGAAGTATTCCCATTTTTAGCAAGTACTGTGGCTGTGCGACGACAGTGACAACACACAACACTCACATTATCCAATGGCTGTCCATTATCACCTTTCCTTAACCCAAAGGGCTTCCAAATTGAGCTTCTTGAGCCTGGTTTTGATACAAGGTCAGATCACATAGATGATGATTGTACAAGCCAGGCCCACAGCTGTGACTTCATTTTTCTAGAGTTACTGACATTTTAGCTGCCATGACACAACAAACTGACCATTAATAGTCAATTGACGAGCAGAGACTAAAAGTCAGTTCCAAATTTCAATTTCCAAATCAAGTGTTGCTACTGATATTGCAGCTGCAGCTAGTACTCGAACAATACATCTGAACATCATGAACATTAGGCAGTGCAGGCTGATAATTATTGATACTTCGATATTTTTCATATTCAATGCTTCAATATTATTATCATTCGTGAAAATACTGTTAGTAACAGTCAATAATATTGTAGTTATTACTAAATATAGGTATACCACACAACCCTTCCTCTGATGTGTTTCTATTATGTAGTGTGATACATTCATCATATAATAATAATTGATTTTATAGTATTATTTTCTTTCCTTTTTTAGGTTTACTTCTGGTGCAGTTGATAGATTTTTGTCTTCATGTAGTCCTCTGATCCTATGTTCCATTGTAGAGAACTTCAGTAGCAAAGCTTATGAACAAGGCAACAAGAGTTGTGAAAGTGGAAGTGGCGGTTTCATATCATACTTTGCGATAAATGGTGCTACACAGTGCTTATTACCAAACTTACGTATTGGAACTTCAATACTAACATCTAAATTAAACCTTTGTTACATTTATAATCATAGTCTCATTAATTTGGAAATGAGTAATGATCATAAAAATAAAAGTTAATTATAAAGTTTATTTGTGTCATGAACAATAATACTTACATTACATTATAATCAATATTAATTATTTCATATGCACTGTTGTAATAAGACAACATGATAAAAATGTATTTGAAAGCAGTTAAACATGCATTTTAGTCTGTTCCCCACAATGCATAGAGCCATTAACATGCCAGGTAGAATTCTCATTGATGTTCAAGTGTCAGAGCAGAATTGACACAACTTGATGGAGGGCATGCTGTAATTTATTCTAGTCAACACTGCATTCATCAGTATGTCAGTACAGATTTTTTCCACGAATTATTAATCTATATAATACATAATGAAAATTAATCTGACAGATAGTTTATACTTGTTTTTATTGATAGCTGAAACTGTTATTTGCCTGTTGACGCTAAAAGTAAATATTAACTGAAGTATGAACATTACTAAGTGTACATAAAATTAATATTAAAATTAGATAGAGCTTGGCATTCTAAGCCACTAGAGTCTCAATAGAATGTACCAGTACACTTAAAAAGAAGACTGATGGTAGAATGCAAGAGGTAACAATATGTGCAAGTGATAATAATCAACATTTTAGATATAAAACAAAGATCTTTATCAGTAATGAAAATGAATTATTTGGGGTGAATCTCTAACTCTTTTTGAATTCAAGAAAAATAATTGTACAAGTATGGCTATTGGCTAATAAAAAAGAGAAATAACACTTCTTTTTCTGTGACAAAACTGACAATTAATGCTAGCCATTTTTAACACAAAAATGTTGAGTCTTTAATTATAAACAATAATTATTATTAATTAAAAAGGTAATCCTTGAGAGTTTTTGATGCAGCATCATGCCATATTTCATCACAAACTTTCTTGCCAGTAGCTTGGATTTTACTGATTGTTTCCCAGGCTGGCTTCAAATGTGTCAGTATATACTTATTGGAAGGATCAGAATGATAAGTATACTCACCTAAAATGCAAATAAACCATAATTAATAATGAATAATAAGTTACCATTGACACAGGTTTGAGTTAATCGTCCAAGAATTACATAATACAGCAAATTTATCTCCTTCTCCGTTAAAGGGTTTTCCTTAAGATAGCCAGATAATAATGGTGCAACACTTTTCAAAGGATCTGGTCTTTCCAAAGATGCATAGGCCATAGCTATACCAAGGTCAAAAACTGTGGGAGTATAAACACAATCATTAAAGTCAATTAAACCAACGACCTCAACATCCCCCAACTGATTCTCCTCTACAATAATGTTCATATCATTAAGATCATTATGACAAATACTGTGTGGCAATGTAGGCATCATGGGCACCACATTTTCTTCAAAATCATGAAAGTTCTTGTGTATAACTTGGAGCTTATCGAGATCAGATATACTTTTGTCAGCAAGAGAACGCAATGTGAGTAAGTGTTGCAAATCCCACTGCAATAATTTTCTTGCAGAAGCACCAGGATGTGAAAAAAGCTAAGGTGAATAGTAAAATAATGTTACTAACAATAATAATTATTTTAATACCTTCATTTCACGAGACACAGATCCAATGTACTCTCCCAATTGGAACATAACGGATGGGGAAACAAAAACGTCACTTAGCAACTTACCTGGTAGGTATGTCAGAACACGTGCATGATAGTGATACTGTGCTGCTTGAGAATCACAGCTGACCTCACTATATGAGAATAGTGATGACCCTGACAGTGTCACAATTTCCGTTCCATTTACAGAAGCAACTGGAAAAGGAACATTTATACCTTTCGAAAAAAGGAACTTCTTCACTTCAGTTTGCATTTCAACGGTTGATTTCATCTCTGAGTCACGCCAATTGAGTACTTTTAAGACAAACTCATTTTCAGACGAACTATGCTCAGACTTTGGAATATTACCAAGGAAATGACCACGAAAATAATAGTTCCTATCATCGTAGCTATTCAATTCTTTCACAGAACTCTCGGCAATATGCTTGAAAGGAAAGTAGTCATTTAAGAGTTTAACGACTCCTTGAGGTGACAGGGATGGAGGTCGAATATCAGCCATCATTAACAACACACGTTGCATGCCTAGCCCAGCCACACCCCAATTCCCAAAAAGAAAATCAGTTAAATCACAAAAACTTTTACACATGTTCTCCTTAAAAACAATACAATATACAAAAAATGACAGTGCTATAGTTTGTACACCCTTGTTAAGTGTTACTATTTTCTTCATCTGAATCCGAATCATAATGCAACAAACCGGTTAGACCCAATGAAACCTTTTTTGTATCATCAATAGTAGAGCTAGTTCCAGGTTTCACAGTCACTGGGGATTTAGCAACAACTTTTATAGTCTTTGAAGGAGATAAAGATTTATCAGCACTGCTCTCACTTGATGTCCTGCATGAAGATAAGAGACAAAGAGTAATACCAATATTAGATGTTGCTTTAAATGTGTTAACAAAACATTAGAACATGTACATGTATCAGAAAAATTGTAAAACAGAATTCTCTCCTAGCCAAAATTTGGTGCAAGTATAGTATATGGTCTTTAGCCAAATTTTTGAGTAGCTTTAAAAATTCATGACAATCTAACTTTGATCAAACAAGATGAACATATATATTATCAAGAGTGGATAATTATTTAGGGAGAGTGTCTAACCCGCCTATAATCTGTGATACCACAGTGTGTAAGTTTACATAGCATGGTTATTAGCACCAAGTAGCCATTCTTGCGTCCTTATACTGATTCCAAGTCAGAAGGCTGCAAATAAGAAAGAGCCAACCATTAGAAGAACATATTCCCGTCTGCTCCTGCTTGTTTCTCGCACCACATGATCCTCAGAGTGGAGATATAAGTCTTAAAGTTGCCTGCATGCTTCAAGCGCCATTTTATCAGCCACACCCATAAATTTGAAGATTACTGAGATTAACTCTGTATACTTGCAACAAACGGATGTAAACATACGCGCTGTGGTATCACAGAATATAGGCAGGTTAGACACTCTCCCTAAATAATTATCCACTCTTGATACTAGACGAATGTAAAACATTAAGGGGCTCAGCCCCCTAGCCACGCTATATTTTAAAGGTTATATGGTATAGAGTTACATTATTGTACATGTACAATAATTATACATGAGTAAATACAGTAGTTTGTAAGTTTGTAATGAAGTTATCATGCTTGGAAATACAAATTTTCTTTATCAGTTTATCACATTCTACAGCAAAAAAGTTGTGTTGGAAGCCAGAGACAGTAAGTAACTGCAGTCATAGGTTATGTCAGTAGTTGTGGAGGCTTTACAAGCTCACAACTGTGGCATATCTGCCTTCTTAATCTTCCTTGCTGTATTTGGAAAGTAGTAGAGACTTCTCTTGCATTCTTGCTGACTCAAGTGAGTGACTTGTAACTTGTAAGGTCAAGAACATGAAGAACAATGAAGAATTCATAGCTGGCGCCATTTTATTCCACTGTGACCACACCCGTTTTCAAAGAAGATTAAGATTAGGTTAAAAATAGGAAAATTTTTCATACGGATAAATAGGGGTGACGTACGTGTACAAACAAACATACTCTACTCGAACTAGTGGGCTTCGCCCAATTATACATACAACCTAGATAAACATACATGTACATGTACATGTACAATGTACATCAAATCATGCATATGTATTACATAAATGCATCAGGATAAAAATAGAGAATTTTCTCCTATCCATTTTTGACAAAATGCCATGGGCCAGTCAAAGTTTTACTGAGCAAGCACACCTCATGAGCTGGCGAGAAGCTGAGCACTATACTGGGAAACCCAGATTGCTGCACTTCTATCTACATGTGCATATTGTGCTATCAATACTTTTATTTATTACCTAATATCTAACACCATAATAGAAAGGCCAGAACCATCATCATACATGAAAATTATGATTTGTAATATAAACTATTACTATGCAAAATTACTTATACTACAAAATTAATGTATTTCAATACAGTAGTAACAAAACTTTAACAACTAAAGTACCTTCTTCTTTTAATAGCTCCCACTATCAGGGCCGACTGTGATTTTGGTGCTTTGGAGGACATTTTCAATGTTGGTGACACAGGACCAGGTGTAATTAACAATGGTTTTTGTGCTATTTTTTTCTCAGACTCTTCTGCATTCAATTGTGAAACAGCAGTCTATAAAAATAATAACAAATACATTTAAATAAAACATGATTCATAGATAAGGTATAATTATGTAATACTGTAGGCCGCATTTTTTCAAGGGATATGAATTTCATGATTTTTTGAAGATAAGCAAAAATTACTTCTTCAAAAATCAAATTATTACAGTACAAAATGGCAGACAGCATAAATTCTTGAAAATTAAATCTGCACAATAGATTTTAGGCAAATTCGCAAAATGTACAGCCCACAAACAAAAGGCGCCCTACGGTATGTGTCAATGAAAAATAAACAAAATGCTAAATTGAATAGCACTTTTTCTATATAGCTACCAATCTCAAAAATTTTCTGTAAATATACAAAACTCAATTTGCTCTGTGGGTTTGACAACTACTGGAATTGGGTCATGCATGAATTTAATTAAATTTACGGGGTAAAGTACAGTAGCTCAGATAATTATTTTTATGAAAATTTTAAAACTCATAAGATAAATACTAGTAACAAATTACAAGTTGCCACTGTAATAACAATTATAAATACAAAAATTACTATTGTGCGTATGTTTTGTGTTCCTTGCAGAAGGGGGTGCTTGAACAAAAAATTTATCAAGATTATTAAGGCCTTTCTACACTAGCACTTCTAATGCACATTGAACTGGTTTGAAACCGGTTTCAGTCATTCCACACCTTATGCGCATTGACTTGAATGCGCATTATCTCAAGGCCTTTCTACACTTGAACCGGTTCCAGAAGTCTGGCTCATCAGGTGATTCCACACTATCTTCAGGATCATGTATATTTTGATAGTATTTCTGATCCAGCTGCCATTGTATGGCTATCTATTGAATGGGCATTCAAACCTCATATGGAGGTGGTTTGAGATCATAATGCACATTGAAGTCAATGTGCCATCAGGTGTGGAATGACTGGAACCGGTTTCGAACCAGTTCAATGCGTATTAGAAGTGCTAGTGTAGAAAGGCCTTCAAACCACCTCCATATGTAGTTTGAATGCCCATTCAATAGTAACCAATGGCAGCTGGATCAGAAATACTATCAAAATAATTATACAAGATCCTGAAGGTAGTGTGGAATCACCTGATGCTCTTTCAATGAGCCGACTTCTGGAACCAGTTCAAGTGTAGAAAGGCCTTACAAAATCATAAAAAACTTTTGGCCACAACATACAGGAAAATATGGTGTTAGAACAATAGTTGGAAGTACTTAAAAAATACTGTATGTACCTTAAAGGCATTGATCTCCTCTCTCTCCTGTTGGAGCAGTTGTGATTCACGTGATGACTGTTGATAAGTAATCATATTCAGAAAACCAGCCTCTTCTTCATCAAGTCCTTTATATATCATATTCTCTGATAAACATACAGTGCAACATCTAAAATTATGACAAAGCCAGCTCAAATTTTACAAAGTTACTCACTGAATTTAAACTTTTCATCCCAATCTTCTTGCTTCCTGTCTTTTTGTTCTTTCAGACGTTCAAATAGTGGACGTGGATCATAATTAGTTTCTTGTGGTGCCTCTAAATAATTACAAGTTGTTATGAATTAATATGCCGAAATGTGACTAAAAAGTCTAAATGAACTTTAATTATATGAATGCAACTATAATTACATAACAAAATATTTTACCACAAAAAACCTCTTTTCAAGCCAAAATTTTAATCTTCTGTACAAGTGTCATAAGCTGTAAGTTAAAGGCCTTGTCACATTTGAAAAAGTAATGTAAAAAGTAAAACAAATCGTAAAAAGAGCATAATATGTTACATAAATTCAGATGATAGTGTGTCTGAAGTGTATTTTATCAGCTGTACCAACTATCAACAAAGATCATAAAAAAGTGACAGTACAAAAACTGAGAAGTCTTAAAGGGATACTGTCACGGTATACTGGTTCCATGTATTTTACGTGACATCACTAATCCCTAGGGTCCAACAATCAATAACAGACTTTGAGCAGAAATGGCTGCATCAATAAAAGCTTTCACAACCTTGCTAGAACATAAAAAACAGGACAGGCATAAATAGCCCCTACTCTACCAGAGCTGGGTTTTGAATAATTAGAATGCTGAGGGACAGCAGAAATATGAAATATTACCATCAAAATTGTAGAGGCAATAAACCAGCAGACAATCATTGTATTTCCTTAAGTAAAGGCCACCCCTGAGTACTCTCAAAAAGATGTCCCACTGAACCAGAAAAGGAATGAAATAGATGCCACCATTATTCATTAGTAATAATCATTATTAACTAGTAAAATGGTGGATTAGTCACATTTCAGTAGCTGCTTTATCCTATCAATTACTAGTGAATTCCTATAGGTAGATGTATAAATCCTGTTTTCATCTACAACAGGTAGATGATGAAGCGGTCTTGAAAGATACAATTTACTAGCCTTCAGACATGCTTCAGATGACTAAATAATTAAAAATTTTCTTTCAAAATATAAGCTTATAGCCATTTTTTCAGTAGATAAACATTCCATAAACTACTAAGTCCTTCTACAATTACAGTATCCCTTTAAATCTACAATTCTACTTTTCAAATATAGCAGCAAGATGTCTTTAAATACATAAAATTACCATTGCATTAATCAAATAATGTAGTTGGTAGAGATAAATTTTGGCCGTCCCACATATTAAAATGATTTGTAAATTTTGTAGCCATGTGTCACTGAGCATGCTCAGAATAAAGATTTAATTCAGAATATAAAATTACCCAATCATAAAAATAAAACCTGCTCCATTTTCTCACTATCACCACACCCCTTTTCTACCTGTGGAGGTCGGGAACACTGCTATCTAAAATTTGTGCAAATAAGACAGCGTGGGTGGTCCTACATCATGTGACAGAGACCACACAGCTGAAACAGATGCTTTGCAGCTAAGATAAAATGAGAATAGAGTCTCTTGGACATCTCTTGTAGATTTGAGAGCAGCAACTTTCACAGAGTGGAGAATGCCATTATTATTAATGATGTTTATTTAAACACATGACAGTATGATTTTGTCATAAGTATGATGGCATTGTTGTACATGTAGTAAGTAGCATAATAATACTACGCTTAAATATTGAAAAAGAACATTACAGGTTCCTTCCTTTGGTTACTTGATCCTCATCTTTCTTCTTTTGTCTTAAACAGAGCTCTTTAGTCATATGACTACACATGGTTCAAGCAATCTTATTGGAAAGTTGATTTCACTGCATAAGGCACACATTTTAGATAGCAGAGGGGCATGGTGAGACTAGGTATATGTACATGCATGCAGTTGTGACACACTAAGGGCCAAAAGAATATGAGTGTATAATGTAAACATATCGCTGATGGATAAACTTAAAGTGCATCACACACCTTATTCCTTTCTACCAAACACAAACTCAAGCATTATATACTACATGTATATCAAAGTGTGGGTCAGTTTGTCAGAGGGTGAAACACATCAATAACTAATATACATATAGTTACTTAGTACTGGACAATTCAGTGTTCATCACTCCCACATTTGATGTTATTATTACATATAATTGTAAAGTACTGACTAATTTTACAAAGAGAGTTTACAGAGAACTAACAGACATAAAACCTTTTGGATCTCCTGGCTTTCTGACCTTCTCCCATTGTTCTTGTCTCTTTTTTCTTATTGCTTCTACTTCACTTTCTGTTACAAAAGAAACTATTCTGGGAGCTTTAGCTTCTCCACTATCACCAGCCATTTTGGTTCAGTTTTACGAGACACGAAATCCACGTTGCCCTGGCCTGAAGTCAAAATTTTAACAAGATCTCTAATTTTTTTTTTTTTTGCAAAAATTCCAAAATTTTTACGAGAATCTTAAAATTTGCACAAAATAAATGAAATAATATCAAAATTTATTCATTTGACCACTCCTACATCAATTAATTAAGAAATACCGCACCTCTTTTTATTTTTTGACATGTAATCTTATTAAAAATCTCTAGATTTGCACCATTCACCCTCCCTAAATAAAATCCCTAAAAATATACAAGAAAATACCTAGATCTATTAATCCCTGGTTGGTTATATTGGGTTTGGACTTTGTTGCAGCCACTAATATCCAATTAACTATCTTTAATAGCTAATAACCACTAAATTAACCATAAACAAATCATAAATACTTCAATATTAGATGAATTTTAGTGTTTTTAAAACTATAAAATAGCCTATTATAAACAAGTGTACATATTATGCACTGTTGATATAAACAATAATAACTTAGTTTCAGAATTAAAATTGAAGTCACAGATGCATTGACTTTTATTATAGTTCACAGGATAACACAAATGTTGATTTACAAAATGATGAACTGTTTTTGTGCTTCATATCACTGACAATGCTATGCAATGAAGCAATGGTTCCAAAAGCAAATCCCATTATACCAAGTAAAATGATAATGATGTCTTTCAATATCCAAAAAAAACTTGAAATAATCTTGTTCCCTTTCGTATGTGAGCTTTTCCAATTCCAAAATGTCAACAAATGAATAAAAGGAGGAAATATCATAGATAAGGCACTACTGGCGACAGACCCAACTAAGTTAATAAGATCACCTAAGTCAGGTATTGCTAAAGCAAGGGAAGCTACAGTTATGGGATAAGTGTAAAGTCATACCTAAATTACAAACTTACCTGTTAGAAGAACAACTAGGGTTCTGAAGCATAGCCGAAGTACTGTTTTTATAGTTGCTTGATATGTCATGCACAGTACTGGTAACTTGTTTGTCAGTTGATCTATGAACTTCAATATTGATGGCTCCACAATGTCCATTGGCACATAAAATTGAATCATGTACGACACAAAAATACTGACAACAAATAACATCTTGGTGATTAGAAACAAACTATAAATTAAAAGTATAAATCAATTATCATTAGCACCTACAGCACTTTTTACATTGTAGTCAGCTCATTATTAGAGCATAAGTTTAGAGTAACAGATGCCTGTGTGTTTTCTCCATATGTTAAGTAACCAATAGCACCAAACAATGCAAAGAGTATTGTTACTACAGCCATACCACAATAAACCACACTCTTGGCATGTGTTGGTTGCTTCATTTTATTCTCGAGAGGCAAAACCTATAAAGTAATGAATAAAGAACAATTATAAACTTTATTTACCACTCCAATTCCTTCGACAGAATAAAATGCAGTGCCAAAAAATAAAGAAATATTCATTAGATTACCAGCTGCATGTAATTGCATACTGGACCCCTTTTTAGTAGCCAAATATGATGCTTCATCATAAAATATAACAACAAGACCAATCGCAATTGATACATTAGCTACTAAAGAAAGAGCTGAGAGACTATTGATGTTTTGTACCCAGCAAAAAACAACAACTGGAATTAAGAAAATAGCAACCAAAAGTTTTTCAGGCATGGTTACACAATAGGCTTCTTTTAACACCTGTGTGCAGAAGGAAATAAGGTAATAAAATTTAAAATATTTAACTTGTTGAAATGAATCTGCTATAAAAACAAAGTAAATTGAACAAAATCCTAGTTGTGTTACAATGAGAAAAAGATTTACTACCATTCTATCATGAAAGACAATAAGTTGATACATTGTATTAAATATTGAATTATAATTTTACTTTCCAATATTTGCCACATTTCTATTAAACCCTTTCTTTAACAGAGCAAATTGCATGGTTTCTGAATAATCCAAAGCTGCTATCTTCTTCCTAATATGGGAACACTATATAATAAGATATTAAATGCTATATTTTACCATTGACACAGCTTTTTTGCACTTTCCAATAACAATCCAATACAGTGAGTAGCTATGAAACCAAGTACTAGTATTCCTACAGGACCAACCTACATGTATAAGTAGTACGGAGCTAGGTATGTTCATGAATTTGCATTTTGAAAAAACTATAATCTATAATGGTTCTAGACTGACATATTAATATTTTGTCAAGCATAAAAAATCACCACTGAGCCCATTTTTCCATCATCATTACATGAAATACAAACTTTTAGTTGAAAAAAGGAGTGCCAAATAGTTTTGCAGGCCAGATCCTAACTCTAAAAAAAAGAGTCTGGCCTGGCCAGACCATAGAACTCCACTCACAATGTATCCAGCATTCTTGACTGCTGCTGGAAGCGCCAGCAAACCACTGCCTACATTGGCTTTAATGAGATGAATGAAAGTATCTGTATCACTATAAAAACAGTGGAGTCTTAGACTATGCTTAGACCATAGACAATCATGTCTTGGAGACATACCTGTTGACGCAGTTTCGTCTTGATCTATTACCGATCGATGTAATTAGTGGGTCTAGCTCTCCATTGTCCCCATCATATCCTTCTTGAATGTTCACATTTCCCTCTACATCAGCCATCGACTGAGAGAAGTATATAAACAGTCCAATGAATGGATCAAGATAGGAACAACTTGCGGTCAATGATGCGTAAATTCAACCCTCCCTGTCACGTGGACCTATAACATCTTATTAAAAATTAATTAATAATCATGCATAGCATAGTAATGTCTTACAATAATAATTATTTTACTGTATCATGTCTTATGACAGTAATAATTAATCACTGACAAAGTCTAGAGCATCATGTCTCATCATCATCCTCATCTTCATCTTCTGATTCAGTGTCAGATTGCCCCTTCTGTTTCCACAATCGAGCCATTTGAAGAAGTCTCAAGTTAGAAGAGGCTGAAGAATCATCAGGGAATACATAGTCCCAATATTCTTCCCAACCTCCTTCAGAGCCATCATCTCGATAAACCTTGCGTCTCTTCTTTACTTTCTTTGGTAGCTTCTGTTTCACCTTTTCTAAACTTTCTTCATCTCCAGATTCACGCTCAAATTCCAGCCAAGCTTCTAATAGCATTACTCTCTCATCTCTGGAGTTTGTCAGTTTCATCGCCTCATCAGCACGGCTATAAACACTACGCGAGTTTTTCGCTGCATCTTCAGAAACCAAGGAAGCTTCAAACTTGGCAAAACTTAACCACACTTTTACATGCTGTGTTCGCTCCAGGAGACGACTGTACAGATCCCGTGTAAAATCATATTCTCCTTGCTCTGTTTCAAAGTCAATAAATGATTTCCACAATACTTCAGGCATGTCCATCAGTGGTTGATTAATAGCCAAGTTATAAATAGCTCGAGAACGTTCCACATCTCCCAATATGGCCTCTAACTCTGCA